TATGTGTGTGTGTGTATATATATATATGTATATATATTTCTATGAAATGAGCTTTTAGCTCACGTTTTTTTCCCCCCTCTGGGGGGTGGGAGATAAAATTGATGTATGACATCAAATTTATTTCAGTTGTCCAACATAGTTCTTCAATATTTGTATATATTGCAAAATAATCCCACAATTAGTCTACTTAATATCTGTCACCACATAATTACAACTTTCTTGTGATGAGAACTTTTAAGATCTAGTATCTTAGCAAGTTTCAAATATGCAATTAATATTATTAACTATAGTTACTATGCTGTACATTATATCCCCAGGAGTTATGCATTTTCTTCTATCTATAAGTAAATATTTTTTGACTCCCCTTCATCCATTGTTGACTGCCCCTACCCTGTTACTACATTTTTAAATGTGTAAAACAGAATGTAAATATAGACTAACACTCTTTTATCAGTAGTAGTAATTGTTATTTTTAGGCTGCATTTCTAAATATAAAGGATCAAGTTTGTAAATCCATCGTGCTCAGGCTTAGGAAGAATACAGGGAAATGAGGTCAGAAAAGCTAAGGAATAGAAAAACAAACACACTGGTAAATTATAAAAGAATAAAAAGCACAATGTTGCAATCTTAAAATATCAATACAACTTTTTTGTAAAGATTTATTTTTATTTGTTTATGCATACAAGAACTGTATACAGAGGTGTGGGGGGGTGAGACGATTCCCCAGAGACAGAGTAGGGAGCAGGACAGGCAGACTGATGAAATACACTGCTGAGGGGAGCAGTGGGCCGGTCAGGAGAGGTCTGCTGTGCCATGCGGGTCAGCTCCCTGGCTGGGGATTGAACTCATGCTGCAGATAGCTTCATAGTGCTGATACTTAAACCCTTACACAACCAGCAAGGCCACAACTTTTAAATTATTTTTCTAATTATATCACATTCTCAGGCTTGATGTAGTAGACATCGTTGAGTTTGTGTGTGTGTGTGTGTGTGTGTGTGTTGTCTTACAGCCTGCTCCCTTCTAGCAATAGCAAAGTTGGAGAGCAGCTTTCCCCAAACTCTCTGGTTTTCTGGTGGGCTACTTAACAGGTTATTCTCTTCACTTGGCCTGGGATGTCTATGCCCAGGGATTTGTAGGTGACCCAGGCGAGGGAAATTGGCATCCTTCTTTGTAATTGCTTACATAGTTCCTGAAAAAAGTAATCTCTCCTCTCTGGAGTTCTCAGTGAGATTTTTCAAAAAACTGGGGGCTCTTGTGTCAATAACAGCTATAAACTCTCACCCTGCCTTTCCTATTGTTGTTTGAGCACAAAGGTCATATTTTGAGGGATCTGGATCCATTTTCCCCAAACTTGTTATGTTTTTTCCCCAAGCAAAATACCTGTTTATTAGATAATTGGTTGACATAGATTAAGAATGTATATTAAGGGCCCTCCCTGGTGGCACAATGAGTTAAAGCGCAGCACAGCAAGCAAGTCGTAAGCTTCAGTGCAAGTTCGAACTCCAGCTCTAGAGCTGACCCACATGGTGCAGCAGACCTCTCCTGTCTCGTCCACTGCTCCCCTCAGCAGTGTACTCAGTCAATCTGCCTGTTCTGCTCCCAGGTGGATCTGTCTCTGTGAATCTTTCCTGCCACCCTGCACCTCTGGCCTGCACTCCGGCTCTGTATGCATAAGTAAATGAAGCTTTTTTTTTTTTTAAGATTTATTTATTTATTCATACAAAACTGGGGTACAGGCCAGAGATGTGGAGGGTGAGAGGATTCACCAGAGACAGAGCGGGGAGCAGAACAGGCAGATCAATGAAGTACACTGCTGAGAGGAGCAGTGGGGGGGTCAGGAGAGGTCTGCTGCACCATGTCGGTCACCCGCAGGGTGGGGATCGAACTCATGCTGAAGTGGCTTTAGCTTCTTAGTGCTGTGCTTTACCCGCTGCACCACCAGGGAGGGCCCCTAAATGAAGCTTTTTTTAAAAAATGAATGTATATTAAGAAGCTCCAGAGTTTTTGAAAAAACAGGATATATTGAAGTAAAAGAAAAATCTTATTCACTTTTACCTTTAAAAAAAAAAAACAAAAACCCGACAACTTGGGGCCCTCCCTGGTGGTACAACAGGTTAGGATGCAGCACTGCAAGCAAGCCGCAGATGCTTCAGTGCGGGTTCATTCCTGGCCCCAGAGGTGTCCCACAAGGCACAGCAGACCTCTCCTGTCTCGTCTGCTGCTCCCCTCAGTAGTGTACTTTGTTGATCTCTCTGTTCTGCTCCCCACTCTGTCTCTGGTGAATTCTTTCACTGCCCCTGCACCACTGGCTTGTACCCCAGTTCTGGATGCATAAATAATAAATCTTTAAATAAATAAATAAATAAAACAACTTGATGGAGTCAATGATGGTATCTCCAGGTACCTAAGTCACATAATTTATTATTAAATTATCTATTTAGTATCCAAACTGGTAAAAATTTGCTTTACTCTTGGTTTGAATTATTCAAACAACAGAGCAACATTTTTTGTTTTTGTTTTTAATCATCAAGCACACTAGCTGGTTTCATATTTTTCTACATTTCTTCAAAACAGAGATTTCTTTGTTAATACATTTCTATGAGAAGTAGAATGATAAAGTTATGGGATAGATTAACTTAGAAAAGTGTGAAACTGACCTTGGATATTAGTCACTAAAACCGAGTTGGGACAGTCTTCCTAAATGCTGTTCTTAACCTTTCATTGTTTTTACATAGTAGGAAACAACATGAGACCCAGCATCTGGTTTGCTAGTATCTAATAAACTACCGAAAAGTTGTAAGGCAGAAGCCTTAGTACACTGATTTAAGTGTTTGTTGAAAATACCTGTAGTTTTATTTGCAATCGAGATCCTTTATCTTTGTTCTATGTACCCTCTTTTGTCCTCAAGGACAACCAAGGACCAGAATATATAAACGAATACGTTTATTTTACATCGACAAATATGAGAGGGTTAAATAAAACAAGATTACAGACAGTTTTACAGCATCTTCCAAAGGAAAGGTGCCAAGGGAGGATTTGGAGACCTGCATAATCTCCTCCCAACCCCTCAAACAAACCAACTATACAGGTAATCTAAGTCCTTGTTAAGCAAGCCCAGCATTTTCACTAGTCTCCTAGGTCGCTTCCACCCTGTCCCCTGCCGAACCTTAGATGGTCCCAGACTAACACTTAATTCATTACTACAGATCTTCGCCATGGCTCTCATAACGGGACTTCCCCAAACCAGGTATGAATTCTTTGGTCGTGTATTTGTTGTTCTCACTTTATTGCTAACACCTGGCAAAATTTAAGAAAGCATTTTGTCTTATGAACATCCACTTTGATTGGGGATTCCAAAAATTTAAAAGCCACTACCGCGGTGCGTCCACGCTGACAGCGCACTGGCTTGTCATATCAGCACTGGTTAAGTGCTTAGGTTCTGATTTGGGACTAAAGCTCACACTCTTCTGGCTCAGATTCTGTGAACTGAGTCATTCTGGCCCTGAGAATATTCCGTGACTCAGCAGGCCCGAAAAGGAGGATGTCAGATCCAGATAATTTCGAGTCTTTTAAAGGCAAGCTGGGGAACACAAACAACACAATGGAAGAATTTCGCAGTGGGTCTCCATACCCAGGGGAAAAATGTCATTCCATTCCCAGCCTTTCTACTTCCTTCCTTGCCCGTTAAATGACTGGTTACACTTTAATTTAGAGTCAGGAAATCACTTCAGAAAACTCATTATGAAGCTGTGACCAGGCCTATTATTCCCAAGGGACAGTGTCAGTAACGTCCCCCATCCTCCCCCCCCCCCCACACCCAGGGACCTCTCCTGGGAAGGATTGGCGTGTGGCCCTGCGCTGCGGGGGATATTCCCGGGGCGACCCGCTGGGGCCAGGGGCCTGCAGGAACCCCCCTGGCTGGCCCCTTGGGTTCCAGCCCCCGGGCGCCGCCCGGCGGGAAGCAAGGTCGGATACCTGGCGGGGGGCGGAGACCCGCGAGGCCGCGGCCCAGGTCGGCGCG